TCACTTCTTACAAAGACCACTGATGAAAAAAAGATTTGCTTCTTACAGCCGGAAGCACTTGGTGGAAAAATTGCAGAGGTATGTCAGGTCCTGCGTGGGTTATCTGTGTTCCTTGGTCTCAACGATGATATCACTGGTCTACAGTAGACCTAGAATCCTTGATATATCCATCGTGCAATCTAGACTAGTCAAAAGAGACAACAGTGATGGTGTCCCCAAAACCTGTGTTGCGTCTCCCGAATTGGCCAAGGATGGATCAGATGTACTAGCATTCGTAGGAGCCCGTGGTGGCCCTAGGCATGTGGCAGCGGGAGAGGGAATGGCTTTGGCGACAAAGCGTTGAAGGTGAAGTCTGGGAACTGGTTGTGATGGAAAAGGCGACGATGTTTGACCGGGACAGAGCAACCAGAAACACTGAATGTTGTTATTGCAGCGGGTTGTAATGAGCTGGTCAGCTGCATCGGCGCCGTGCCCTCGGCGCTATTCTCACTAAAAGTGTACGTCAAGAAACAAAGGCGAGTGAAGTTCTAAAATAAATACTAGTTTTCATCAGCTAAAGATATTATACACAAATAGATGCATTCCCTAAGGCAACATCCATAAAAAGTGACCAAACGGCATATTCTAAGGGCAGTTGCTTCCCCATGAATCTGAAGCATTTCCGAGCGTTGTTGGGAACAGGCACCAAAGTGATCGCTATTCTGGTGCCATACACGCTCTGCACTGTTGCCAGGCAATTTCCCGCTTCCAGAAGCAGCTCTTGCTGTTGTTTACACTGATTTGTACAGGAACGCGGACCAAGTTCACCGAAAAGGCTTACTAAGAAAGCCGTTTTCTTTTCACGGAAAATTATATATATATACATGGAAGAAAAACAAACAACTACAGGAGAGAAGAGAAAATATGCCGCTGAAACGAATGCCCTCGCTGCTTGACAATGGTTTAAATTTGCGGAAAGGGCTTTAATTTCCATGCTCTGTGGCATTTCTTACTGAAATTAACTGACTCTTAAATTCGCAACCACGCAGTTGACTCGTCACAAAGTTCTTTCTCGAATAATTTACTGCCTGTGATCTGCAAGTTGTTTTTAATATACATAACAGTCATTTCGGACGATACAATGATTTTTTTTAATGCATAAATTCACTCTGAAAGTAAAGGCAAACTATAAATGGTTCACCCTAGGAATTCCCACTGAGGTTGCAACCATTTTCTTGGGTCGATCGTATCGATCTAAAGGCGCAATAGATGCAAATACCGGAAAATACCCAGAATTCAATAAATTTCTTAATAGCACTTTATGGTCATTCGGTTAACCGGTTGGCAAGTATTTGACACACATTTTACATCCATTCTGTTTATCAAACTCATTTAGCTTTTAGTATTTTCTGTTTACTTACACGACACGTCGGATCGCAAAAATAGGTCGAGAAAGAACAATATTTCCCGAAAGCAAAGCAAAGCAAGCAAGCAAAAGCAAAGGAAAGCAAGGAAAAGACAGCCCTGACTCTCGGACGAACAAGTGCACCAAACAATCACAGGTGTTTCCCCGTGGAACAACTGTTTCGCGTGCCGCATCTAGAGTGTATGCCAAGGCCAGGTGGTGGCACATGCTCTCACCGTGGGAAAAGGACGGCGCAGACAAAGGCCCTTTCCCCACGGAGATGCGAGATGCTTGCGACTGTTAGGTGTGAAACGTAAAGCAAAATGAGGATGACACAGGGTGAGGACGCAGTATGAGCGTAGTGTGTGAGGGAGAGGATTGTGCCAAGGCTGGGCCGGGTTGCCAGGGACGTGATGGAAAGTGTGGGAAAGTGGAGGCGAGAATTACAGAAGCTGAACAGACGCTTGGATCATAAAGGAATGACACTCAAAGGCTAGGATAGCGGAGGGATTCGGGTGAACGAACGAAGAAAAGCACTGCTCACGTATCCACTTACATAAATGAGGAGGATATTACAGCTGATAGACTTTAATAAATATTAAAATAAAATACATGGATGCACGCTATCAATCGCCTCTTCCTATCAAAAATGTCTCCCCACATATATTCATCAGTAGGCCTACTCACTTAAGCTCCAGTGCGGTACGTTTAATCTTCTAATTCTAAGCATTACATCACAAGTATTTCAACCGCTGTGGTACAAACACCAGCTTCCCCTTCCCTTGTACCTCCCCTCCTCCCAGGCTCAACCTTCCCTCTCTCCTCCCTCCTTCCCCCTCCCCCTCACACTCCCCTCCCAGGTTCTACCTTCCCTCTCTCCCTCCCCTCTCCTCCCCATCCCAGCTCAACCTTCCCTCTCTACCTCCCTGCAGTGCTGCCATCTGGCCGTCCGTTAAGCTAAACTTTTTGCTTCCCGCTCACAGCAAGTCAATGTCTCCTTCACATTTCCTTACTGTCAACCTTATTCTGGCCGCCCCGCACCCCCTTGCGCCCGGTCTCTTGCTCCCTCCCCCTCCCCCAAAGATACAAATTTCCCAACACGTCCCACCGCCCTCACCCCAACCCTCACCCCACAGTCGCGTCCAAAGATATCTATGACGTAATGCAGCACGGAAGCGCATGTGGCTACGAATATGCTTGTATTTGACCCCACGCTGGTCATGCTTCATCCTAATCTCTGCTGTATGCTATCAGCAAAATATCAGATAGAAAACATGTACCCGTGAGCTTGAGTGATAGCAAGCGGCCAGCGACACCGACGTCATTGTAGCTAAAAATAGCCATGATGTCACCACCGAGAGCAGGCCCCTCCCCCTGCCTCTGCCCCCAACCACACATATTTACGAACACACGCGCGTGGCCTTCCAACGTACACGTAAAATACATAGGCAATTTAGCACGTGGAAATAGTTCGAGCCTTAAATCTAATGGAGGTATTTAGTCCAGGGAATCATATTCGTACACAAATACGTTTAACAACCCTACAACACTGGCCTGGCACTCACAACCCATGCTTGAAACGCTAGTCTAACACCATCAAAAACGACAGCAAAATGCAATAAACTGACAGTATACTATGGAAGATAATCAAAATTTAATCACTACGAGGCTAAAATTACATAAAGCATTTGTTGCAGACTTTCCACAACCGCAGGTCTTCCTAGGGACAAAGGCTGACCTCGCTGACAAATGTTGTATAGGTTGGTAGATTAAGGTGAAATTCCCTTTGTACATGGTTCGTACAACAAAGACCAGCGTATTTACTGATGACCCAGGACAAATACCTGACCCACTTCCGGGGTTTCTTAACTGCCTGTAGTGCACAACAACCATTTCTTCCTGATTGTATAACTGAAAGTGGCATTTACAACATTCATCACAAGTAAGTTTTTTTGCTGGACAACTAATAAACATTCCACCTCTGTCTTCAGACAAGTTCTTCATTGGATTTTTAAAGTTACTCAATCAGTTACTATGACACCAAGTCTGCACAAAATGATTACTTCCAAATTTTATTTAAGGTCAAGTGAATAATGAGAACAGAATAACTATAAATTTAAGAAAAGCATACTCACCAAGTAAATGCAGATAATCCACTCCTGTTCAATTCTGTGTTATTAAAGACAGGGGCTCTTGCAACAGTGCCAAGAGGACAATCAGTTGTAGACCCTCCCTCCCCCTCACCTCCTGGGATCAGGTAACATCAATTCATTGGCAAACCAACCTGGCTCACGGCTCAAAATATTTTCTACCCTCTGCAACACTAAAACTACTTGTAGGCTTTCTTTGTGGGGTTCTATGATATTTAAAAGCCCATTGCAACATGTTAAGACTTTCAATATTATGGTTAATATTATTTATTCAACTAGTAGTGTTTGTAAATTTATAATCAAATTGATTTCTTCTCTAATTATGATAATTACTTCCTGACATTATCTTCATCATTTCATGAACTACTGTTATACAAATCTATGAAATATATTGCACATAACTGAAGTGCATACATCAGCTATGAACAAAAATTATAGGTGCACCCATTCAACACTATAGTACTGACAAACAAATAATACCACTTAAAAAGGAGCATTACTTAAAGTGAAGTTTCACTGATATTTATTAAAACTGCATATTCTGAGTACAATAAACAGTAAGGGTTAATATGTTAAAATGCATATTTACATCAAATGCCATATATTAGTATGCACTGCAGTATGTAGCTATAATAGTATTATCTAACTTTGACTTTCCAAATTTATTCAATAATCTTCCCAGTTAAGTCTGACATTTCAATTGATAAAAATGTCTTATCATTTCTAATGGTTCATAAATTCATACTAATTCAATTATTATTTTCATGACTCATTTAGATATTCAAACCTAATAGCACAAATTAAATCTAATTAAACACAATATGCCATTTTTTTTATTTCTAATTTCATTGCAACCACCAACTCAGTACTGTTATGACCATTCAACATTTTACCTTCAGTCAAGAAAAGAAACAGCAATATTCACCAAAACACTTTCTAAGCACATCTGTCATATCATTTTGTTTAACAATTTACTGAAATTATGTAAAATAAATTTGAGGGAACCATTTTTTTTTTTTTTTGTATTATGTTGGTATCTAACAACAGGAAATGGGTCACAAAATCAAACGTAAAACTACACCATTCTGCATACTAGCCGAATACCCGCCAATAACCCTACGGTGTTTGCTCTCCACCATTCGCGTGCTTTAAAATTAATCGAGACCACAGCCTCATATCTGCCTGTCGTGGGATCAGCCTGACTTTCCTATGACTCTAATTCCTCAGTGGGGCACACAAAGGGGTCGGGGAATATCCAAAAAAGAAGAGATCAGCACATGACTTACGTTATCAGTGAAACAAGAAGCAACAACGTGATCATCTCTCCCTGGACGAAGACTTCCTCCACAAACCACTCTTTCGCTCCAACTAGATGCCACATTATTTCATGCTGAATTACGCGGTTTTGGAAAAAGTATCAACGATGTTAATTCATCAGAATGGTAATTCATATTATCATAATGTGCAGTATAGGTATAATTGTTTATTAGGGCGATTTTTTATGTTTTTAATATGAAAGCGAGGATTCAGGGAGGATTTAGTATGACGATGTAAACAAACCTCAAAACAAGGGAGAAACAGACGTGGCAACTTGATTATTTACTTCCTTTTCCAGGTAAGACATTATTTTTGCTGTTTGAAATGTACAATTTTTGTATCTAAAGACTCAAAATTAAGATATAAGCTTGTGAAACAGAGGTGTCTTAATGAAAAAAATGTTAAATGTCGCTATTTTGTGGTGACAGGTCTCAGGTATTTAATTTTTTTTCCCACCTCCTAGTTCTCTCTTAAATCTTATTGTCAAAATTTGGATAATTTTTCAGGGTAATTTTATGGAATACCTTCACATAATAGATCCTGATAATTTTGGTTTCTGTGGATTCCTCTCACCCTAAAGTACACATATATGTAGTATTTATGCAGCTGAACCCCCCCAGACTTCCACAATCTTGACCCTGATAACAGGAGAGGGTATGAAAGGTGCCATGATAATTATGGAGTAAAATATGTCACTGCATTGTCTGATGTAAGTGGCTGTACCCCCTGTGAACCCCCCAACTCCTACCCATGAAAACAAAGAATCCTCTACATATGTACAGCAGGAGAGTGTGTTGGACAGACTCAGCATCTAGTGGTACATCAGCCGTTGTTGTGCTCCCTTAGCATTTTTTTATTTTTTTTGTAGGAAAGGCGGGCCTATTTGTATCTTGGGACCAATATTGTAGCTAATGGGGTGGTTTCTATGGCATAATTTTGAAATAATTGGATAGTAAAGAGTGAGCAGAATCCATTGATACCAATGTTGTTATGATCAGTGATGTGAAAGTATTCTGTAAAATGACCTTTTTAGTTTCACACAGCTATCCAATCATGCATTTACTGTTCATACTTTCAATTAATCACAACTGTAGTATGCCTGAATCTCTTGTTATTTTCTATAGCAAATGTATGTGAAAGTATTGGAAATGTCAATGAAGTGACCATGCCCCTCTGAGATTAAGCCCTATTACTCCCACCATTACTGGGAGATCCATAAATATCACTGTATAAATAAAAAAAATTCCTAACCAGCGGCATCATCCCCAAACCCACATCCGATATCCAGAGACTTACTCTCTGTGCAACCTTTGTCACAACTTATTTACTTAAATTTCTGCCATATTTTTTTGCCTGTGCAGGTTATTTCATATATTAGTGAGTGTAGCTTTTCTCTTTGCCATTACATTTTGCTGTAAATGTATACTATTGTGTTATGGTGCACAACTTTCTTTTTATCTACTTCCAAAGGCAATGCCATAGAAGAAGTGTATTATTTTGGGTAATTCTGCCCATCACAAGACATAGCCTTGTACTAAATGGCTATGGGAAACTGAAACTATACCAAAATTTGTACATGAATATGATTCCAAACATATCTCATGGTAAATTTTTAAAAGAGACTCTAATTGCTTTGAAAATTAGATATTGTTTTCCACAGCAATATGTGCTATGTACTATTCAAAACCTATTTAAAATGTAATTGGCATAGTCAGTTGTAGAAGCACATTACATGACTTGAGGAAAGTAAACAAGATAATGTTTGGCTAACTGGACTAACGTCATTGATACTCTCTCTCTCTCACTCTCTCTCTCTCTCTCTCTCTCACTCTCTCTCTCTCTCTCTCTCTCTCTCTCTCTCTCTCTCTCTCTCTCTCTCTCTCTCTCTCTCTCTCTCTCTCTCTCTCTCTCTCTCTCTCTCTCTCTCTTTTTCATGGATTAAACTAGTAACACTTGCATTTTCAGTCTCCAAATCCCATTTTACCCCATTTTCTCTTTTGTATTGTCCCCTTTTTATCACAAATTATTCTTCTCCATTTTGTTATCAGGTAAACCTCATGAAGGGAGAGGAAATCATCCTGTACCAGGAGAAAAAAGGTGCTTTAGGGGTAAAAAACAACTATGTTTATCAAAAGAACATCAGATCATTTGTGCCTCTGGAATGTAAAGAAGAGTAAGTTTGTGTATTTTGACTGCTGTCTGCCACTTTGCGATACTTACATCATCATCATCATCATCATCATCATCATCATCATCATCATCATCATCAATCATTCATCATCATCATTCAATCATCATCATCATCAATCATTCATCATTCATTCATCATCATCATCATCATCATCATCATCATCATCATCATCATCATCATCATCATCATCATCATCATCATCATCATCATCATCATCATCATCATCATCATCATCAATCATTAATCATCAATAATTATCAATCACCAATCATCAAGCATCAATCATCATTAATCTTCATCTTATCTTCATCTTCATCTTCATCATCATCATTTGTATTTGTATTATTATGAGGAGTAGCATCAGAGTAATTGTTATTAATACGTTTTAATAATTCCAGGAGTATTTCTGCATTTGTTTATTTTTTGGTAATAAATAATTCTTCTTATTTGCTTAGTTCTTACTCTTGTTATTGCTATATTATTATTATAAGTACCGTTCTATTTTTATAGTATTATAAGCTTCAGGGAAACTAAAAAAAAAATTGAGGTCTTACAACTCAACCAACCCAAATTAGAGGGACCAACTTTTAAGATATATTACCATTGTTGAAGTATATTTTGCTTTTCAGACATAAATATTTAAATGAAATGTGGACTTTAAGGAATTAAATTAAGTTTTCATGGAAACTGCTGTCTGGAAAAAAATAAGGGAATTTGATTGGTATTACCAATCAAGTTAATATATACGTACTTATTTTTGCCATATTGTAGTGGAACCTTGACACTTTTTTACTTGGCTTTATTGACAATAGCATCAATTCCTTTATAAGGTTATATGATAAAATTATGTCTCCTTACCAGTGACCACAACAGGAGCGAGAGGTATATTGTGGGATGGCTGAGGGATGTGTTCCTTCCAAAGGGTTACCCAGACTCTGTGTCCCCAGACTACCTTCACTACCAAATGTGGGATACAATACAAGTGAGACAATGAAGTTTGTGTTTAATCTTTGGAAAATATGTGAGGTTGGTTTGACGTGTTTTACATATGCTTGTAACTTTTGTCAAGAGCTTTCACTTTGATGAATAATGTGCTAGTTTGTGTTTTTTACCTGAAGATTATCCAATACATGTATGATTATTTTGCAACTCTTATCCTATGAACTGATCTTGGGCATTTTGCTTTTTGTATCCACATTATTGTACCTTCTTGCTCTTTTTAATGTTTTATTTTATTTCAGGCATATTGCAGCAGCATTGCAGGTGCACTAAGCCTTAGAGCAACCTTTGAAGGTTTGGGAGTGGGAGAAGGAGCAGCCACATCCCTTGCAGCAACATTAACATGGCTATTAAAAGATGGATCAGGAATGATTGCCTCCATTGCATTTGCCTATTGGAGAGGGTTAGTGTTGTATGATTGTTGTTGTGTTTCTTGAGGCTCAGATTGAGGTCTAAATTGTCAGTAGATGAACTTAGATAACATGGTCTCATGTCTGTTAGATAGAATTATAATTTTGTTAGGTACCTAAGTTTTTTTTTGCATCAATATTCAGAATAGCATGAAGCTAAGACAAATAATTTTTCCCTTATAATAAAACTTTACTTTTTCACTTAAATTTGTAGAATAATGATATTGTCAGAATTTAAGATTATGTGTTTAGGAAGCTTTGGTTTTAAAGAGTGCTCAAAGTTGTCAGAATAGTAAATTTCAAAGCTGTTATCTACAATTTAGATTTTAAACAAAATACCTTGGCAATGCTTAATTATGACCAAAAGTTCTGGTCAATGTGATGTGTTTTTGCACATCCTAGCATACACTAGGTTTGCTACATATTAATGATTATAATTCTCATTTTTAGGTCACAGCTAGACTGCAATAGCAAGCAGTGGCGTCTCTTTGCAGACGTAGCAAATGACACTGGGCATCTTCTGAGGCTCCTGGGCCCTTTGCTACCAGTGCCTTTCTTGGCTGTAATGTGTGTCTCAGCTGTAATGATGGCTTTAGTTGGAGTGGCAGGAGGAGCCACACGTGCTGCCCTTACTCTTCATCAGGTAATGACCTTGTAACAAAATGAGATACTTTATCAAAGAGAGTGAAAAAATCTGTATATACGATATGATAAGTTGTGACTCAGGTCTAACAGTTCAAATCAGAATAAAACATATGTATACCATATACATGCTGCATGCAAAATTTCATGGTGTATTTAGGCACGTCGTGACAATATGGCAGACGTGTCTGCCAAGGATGGAAGCCAGGAAACCCTTGTGAATTTGGCTGCCCTTGTCACTTCTCTCACCTTATTACCTCTCATCACTTCAAATTTCTTGTGAGTAATTCTGAATTTTGTATAATGTTAAGTGCATATGGAGATCGGATGTTTATATTTTCCTTTTAACTTGTTAGGTATATATAGATATTATTATACAGAGACTGGGGAGTAGTAGTTTATAAAACAACCTATATATGTGGCACTGTATGTGGCACATAATCTGTATTGCCTCACAAAATAACCAGGAAAGTTGTTAGGAGGGTAGTCTTGTTGTAAAAAATGTATATCTGTTATATGTAGGAGTTGTAGTTAAAGAGGGAAGGAAATAGTGATTGTATATTTAACTTATGTTTATGAGATCAGCTGTAGAAATTAATTAAAGATATTGTATGTCAATCTTGGGTTTAAGGAGATTCTTGATAAATAAAATACATAGATCAATTGTGTATATGTGTGTGTGTGTGTGTGTGTGTGTGTGTTTGTATTTGCTTTTCTATCTGTCTTTTCTCTTTTCTACTTTCTTGTGTTTTTTTTTCTAACTCTATTTAATGTTCTCAAATATTTATTCTTTTAAGAGATAACAAATAAAACTGTCAAAATACCCTATAGACTAACCTGGGTGACCTTCATCCTGTGTGTGGTTATGCATCTCCTGGCCAACTATCAAGCAGTACGATCAGTCAAAATGGAAAGTCTGAACAGACCTCGCCTTTTATACACTCTAGATAAGTGGATGACAAGTGCAAGTGTTCCTGGGATAGATGAGACTAACTGCTCTGAGCCCTTGCTTACTGGGGCAGCGTTCATTCAAGGTAATCATTATAGTGTGTTTTTTGCCTTTGTTATTGGTAACATCATTAGTAGTTATTGTAGAACTAATCAATTTTAATCTGTATTTACATTGATCACCATATAATTTGGTATTTTCATGAATATTCTTATGAAGTGGTATTAATTTTTTATGTGTGTCTTTACCTTCTTTGATTTTTTCATGCATTGTTGAGATGTACAAATTCCAATTACATTATATAAGAACAGGGGAAGTGATATTGCGTATTTTTTAATTGCCTTCAGATTTCTTTCCACATGGATTTCGAGTCAGACTTGGTTGCTCATTCACTGAAGCTCTTAATCACTGTTGGAGCAGTGAAAAGAGCGTGAAAGACATTTATCTGAATATTATGGAAACATTTTCAATGGAAAACTATATAGTAAGTGGCTTCATGAAATGTTGATACTTTTCCATGTTGAGTCTGAGGTCAATATTAGATCTGTCAATATTAGATCATGAATTTAATCAAAGTTCTTTTTCTCTTGTTCTAGAAATTTCACTAAAAAGAAAAAGTAATTACAAAATCTTTGCATAATCTGTTAAAGAAAAAAGATAAAAAAACATTTTGATTACTTAATGTAATGTCCATAAGTGATAAAGTTCATTAGTCAGTGTAAGGTCAAATGAGTCATTTTAGACCTGAATGAGTATTTCTTTATGTGAGCAGATATTATATTATATATTTTTCCTTTTTTTCTTTCTTTTTTACTTCTTATGCTTTTCTGTGAAAATCCTGTACATGCAAAATACAGTATAAGTGGTGGTGTGTGACTAGTATCTATTTCCTAATTTCTTATATTTTACATGTTCTTTTTTCAGGTGTGTGGGAACCTAACAGAAAGACAGATATTTATTATCTACAAACAAGAATTGACAACTAAACAAGAATTAGAGGCCTTTTTTGTGGCATACCTATGCATAATGAACTTTGTTCATATTAAAGAGGTAACTTTATCAATTATTCTATAAACATTAATGAATATGATATTTCTATAATTCTAATTTTGTTAACATTTTTTAAATTTTGTCGCAGGGTATTCAAGTATCTGCAGAATTTGTTGCTGAGGGATTGACAGAGTCCACTGATGTGGAAAATATTATCCCACATGTGAAGGTTTATGCCCAGAAGCTGTTTCCATCATTCCTAATGGAGCTCAGTGCTAAAGGTTTGTTTAAGAAGTATCCAGAGAACTTGGTTAGTTAATTGTTTTGCATTTATAAACCTTTAAGTGGATGCTTATGGGTTTATATGAATTTATGTGTATGTATATTATATTTTATTGAGTAGCAACTGGATGAAGATTAACAATATCTTGCCTTTATTGAACTATAAACAATAACCATTTCTGCCTTGCGTATAAGAGTTAAGGAAAAATTACAGTTTATTTTATTGAAATCATCATGGAAAGCTATTCTTTTACATCTAAATTCTAGTCTTCTCATTAAATTTCTGTTATTATTCTAAAGACATAAACATTATCTCAATTTGGCAGGGTGGAACGTCAGTCGCCTTCTTCTTGCTGCAGGTGAATGGAGGTTGGCGTAAGGCATGGAGCAAGAGACAGCCAGTTGCTTCACTTTTCCAGCTTTTTACGGTATTGCTGACATATTTTGTGAGGGATATTTTGGAAGAAAGGATGTAACAAGAGAAAAAATTTAATTTTCCTTTGTTAGGTATTATAGAATGTGCAAGTTGACACATTGTGTCTATTGAAAGATATCATCAAAGTCATAAATAGCACAATTATTCTTGTCATAATGGAAAACATTGACAAATCCACACTTAGCAATGTGGTTACTAGACAAAAAGGATGGGCTGTCTCCTGCTGGACCTAAGCATACTTCCTGGTGAATATCATCCTCCCAGCCAGAAAATGGACCTGCATCGCCAGTCAGGA